GTAAATCATCTTCAGTAGGAAGTTTTTATCATCTTCCATCATACCTGAAGTTATATGATGTCTTGAAAGCAACCCATGCTAATTACAAGGTACTGCATGATATTGTTTGACTGGACTGCAATGGGCTTAGATAATGACTTGGTTTCTTTCAAGCAGTCTCTGCCTCTGTCAGCTCACTTGTTTACCTGTGTAAACAGTTTATACACACAAAAAAAGAATTTAAATAAAGATCACAACTACCACCAATAAAAACAAAACCTGGCCAAACAAGAACCCATGATAGGCATTGTCACCCTGTTGTTTCTCTGCTGTCATTGTTGCTGGTACCAAATGACTCTTTGCTGGCTTGGCAATGCTGAGTAAATCCCCATGGCTGTTCTCTCCGCACTGTATTCCAGGATGGGGAAGCTTTTAGTTGAGGTGACAGAGAATGCATTCCCTAGAGAGTTGGTCACCTGATATGTACACTTCAAGGACTGTGCTCTTATTACACCTACTGTGTTTATCAGAAATGCATCATCTGACTCTATTCCTTGTCAGTGTCCTAGGCCTTCCTCAAGCAAGAAGATCCCTATTTTTTCTTAGTCAAAATGGAGTCCTGCCTTTCCAGCAATGCATAAGGCAGTCTAAGCTGTCAGTGTGAAATACACTGAAATTTTATACCAGTGATCATTTTGTGTCAATACCCACTTCTTCCAGTAAATTGTATCTCCTTGTCGAGTAACTGTTAAGAGAAAACATGGTTTTATTTTCTGGGAACAGGTTACTTTGGATCTCCAGAACACTAATGAGAAGTTTGGATGTTTCTTACGGTCTGCCTTAGATGTTCTCTCTCAAATCTTGGAACTTGCTACTCTTCAGGACATTGGAAAGGTATAAGACTTGTTTGTTTTTTCTTCTATAGTTAACTTGTCCTGTATCCCTGGTCCTTACTGGGAGAAAATGTGTATCAGTGATTTCAAAATTGCTACTCTTCCAAGGGGCAGTAGTCCTAGAAGTGTTGTGCTTCCATAAAGTTGAATAATGTGCTAAAGCAAATTCTCCAGGTTACATTTGCTGCTGTTGAAAACTGGAATAATTTTTTACTTTTTAAGTTTCATGTGGGGATTTTTCTTCCCAGCCAAATGGTTTGCCCTCAGTCATTCCCTATATTCATATTTAAATATACAAAATGTCAGAAAACCTATTGCCCTTCTCCCTCTCCTGTGTCTTGATACTTTTTCTCTTTGACTGTGGTGTTAGACATTATAGTATTTTAAGATGAGGAGGAAAATGTTGAATTTTATATTTTTTTAATTCCATGATTTCCCTTAATTTAGTGTAGTTTTACTTAGTACAAAAACCTGTGCTACTGACCAGTTTTCACTGTAATGTTTTCTACAATAAAGATATAATATGAAAAAATGTATAAAAATATTGTCAAGAAAAACACAATTTAATGCACTTGTTTTTCTGATTTTCTAGTGTGTGGAAGAAATTCTGGGATATCTAAAATCATGTTTCAACAGAGAGCCAACAATGGCAACAGTTTGTGTACAGCAGGTAAGGAGTTATTTTTTG